TCATTTTCAAACCATGCTGGAAGCGGAGGTGACGGATCTGGAAATTCGGCAGGCAGTCTTCAGTCTTGGTAACAACTGTTCTCCTGGCACTGACGGTATCAATGCTTCCTTTTTGAAATTTTATTGGGAAATCATTAAGGGAGATGTTTCTCTGGCCATCTCCCATTTCTTTTGCACTAATTCTATGTGTGAGAACTGGAAGGAAACTATGGTTGTTCTTATCCCGAAGCTTGCTAATGCGAATCAGTCGAGTAAATTCCGACCGATTAGCTTATGTCAGAGCTTCTACAAGGTGGTGGCTAAAGTTCTGATTAACCGGTTGAAGCCGGTGCTTAGTAGCATTGTGGGCGAGGTGCAGGGGGCGTTTGTCCCTGGTTGGAGCATCACAAATCACAGTTTGATTGCCCAGGAGGTGATGGAAAAACTTAAGCATTCGTCCCAAAAATCGGGTTTGATGGCTCTTAAGGTTGACATGGAGCAAGCGTACGACTGCATGGCTTGGAGCACTCTGGATAAGGTCATGAGACTTATGGGTTTCAGCGAGAAATTTATTCATTGGATTATCCAATGTGTTACCTGGCCCAAGTTTTCATTATTGATCAATGGGCAGAGAACGGATTGGATCCGGGCAGAGAGTGGGTTCCGACAAGGCTACCCCTTGTCACCTTATCTTTTCATCCTATGTTCTGAATTGCTCTCTAAGGGATTCAGACAGTGGGGTGCGGACCTCGGGATTCAAGTTGCCCGAAATTCAGAGCGGGTGTCTCACCTCCTATATGCTGACGATATTCTAATCTTTGTTGAGGCGTCCCGTTGCAATGCTAAATGGATCTTAAAGTTACTGGAGACTTATTGTAGTTGGATGGGGCAACGTATCAATTGCGGGAAATTGGCTGTGATGTTTAATAGAAAATGCCCAAGTTGGAGACAAAGGGCGATGGCCAAACTGGTGGGATTTAGGAAAGTAAGCTCCTTTGATTATCTGGGTCTTCCGATGGTGCAGCGCAGGCCTAAGCGGGCGGATTTTGGGGGCCTTATCAAGAGTACTCAGGACAAAATGAACTTGTGGGGTTCAAAGTTACTTTCGCAGGCTGGTCGTGCTCTGCTTATTAAAACTTTCCTTCTTGCCACTCCTATGTTCTTAATCACGCACACCATTGTTCCGCATGGTTGCTTCATGAAGTGGAGAAAATTGCGAGGACGTTTCTATGGCAGAAGGAGACGGGAACCCGAGGAATGCACTATATTGCCTGGGAGGAGCTCTGTCGGCCCAAGGCACAAGGAGGGTTGGGCTTTCGTGATCTATGCAGATGGCAGAGTGCTCCGCGGGCTAGATTGGCGTGGAACTTTCTCACTGATCCTGAGTCTTTGCTGCACAGGCTTCTTGCGGCTAAGTATGGCAGCGACTTGTGGAAGCGGCCTCATGGTAGTCAAGTTTCTACGGCATGGCGTGTAATGCAGGATGGTGCGAATGCCCTTAGACCGATTATAAGGTGGGAGATTGGTAACGGACAAGAGATCAGTGTGCTTCAAGATACCTGGATTATGGACCGGTGTATTGCTCGCTGGCCAACCTTTGTTGATGTTGGGGCGCTTGAGGAAGGTAGTGTGGGAAAGTTATTGGACCGGAACCTCAATTGGGATGTGGAAAAGGTTGAGGAGATCTTTGGGACGATTATGGCCGAAAGAATTATTGATATTCCTACCTTGCGTGGATCTAGGGACGACCGCCCGAATCTTTGCTACTCTCATGCTAGCTCCTCGGTGGCTGCCATGGCTTACGGTTGGGGGTGATGATTTTAATTTTCTCTGGTTCGAAAGGCTTAAGCTCCACCCCCGAGAGTATTTTTTCTGGTGGAGAGTTCTTAAGGGGGCTATTCCGTGTAACATGTGGCTGCTGCGGAGGGGCTTGGTGGATTCGCCGCTTTACCCATGGGGGTGTGCGGTTGAGGAGACTCTGGATCACTGTGTTGCTCAATGCTCCAAACTGACTTGTGTTATGAACACACTGAGAAGATGGGGTTTCAACATGCAAATGTGAGCTCGTTGGGGATGCTATTAACGGTGCTTGCTGAGGGGATGGTTTCGAATCCTGGCATTGGAAGAATCTACTGCTATGCGGTTTACCAGCTATGGCGTGCCCGGAACAATATGCGATATGGGCGGTCGTATCGTGCCCCTTCTTTGATTGCTGCTATGGTCTTATCCCTGCTGCCGCGTACGTTTACTATGCCGATGCTGGAGCAATGGAGCACTATTCAGCCCCTTGGGATGCCTCCTCACAAACTATGGTGTTCCCCCCCTCCAGGTTGGCTTAAATTCAACATAGACGCTTCCCTGCACGTCCTATAAGGCGGGCTTGGGCATTGTGATCCGGAACTGTGATGGCACCCTCATTCTGGCAGCTGGCCGTGAAGTTGAGCATTGGGACATTTTGCAAGTGGAGCTGCTGGCTGCGGCTGCTATTGGTGAGTTGCTGGAGGAGTGGATGTTTGAGGTGGACGGGATTATCATCGAGAGTGACTGTAGCAAAGCGGTGCGGTGGATGCAAGGTTTGGGCGATCGAAATTGTGCGGTCCACCGTCGGGTTGAGGGCCCCGACCTCTCCTTTCTTATGCAGTTCAAGCAAGTCCTCTTCCAACACATTCGTCGTGATAGTAACCGGCCGGCAGACTTTTGTGCCCAATTGGCTTTGGTGGGTAACTTTTTTGTTTAGAGATACGCATGATGTTGATTTCCCCCCGATGCTGTTGTCGCTTTTAAGGGGGGAGAGTGATAGACTATAGGCTTCTTTGTTTTCTTTATGTTGGTTGTAATAGTTTTCTTTTAGCTTATTAATGCAAATGCATTATTCAGCTCTCTCTCTCTCTTTCTCTCTCTCTCTCTCTCTCTCTCTCTCTCTCTCTTGCTCTCTTGCTCTCTAGCTTGCTCTTTCTCTAGCTTACTCTCACTTGTTCTCTCTCTCTCTCTCCCTTTCTCTCTCTCTTCCTTTCTCTCTCTCTCTTGCACTCCCTTGCTCTTTCTTGCTCTCTCTCTCTCGCTCAGTCTCTCACTCTCTCTCCCTCTCTATCTCTCCCTCTCTCTCTCTCCCCCTCTTGCTCTCTAGCTTGCTCTTTCTCTATCTTCCTCTCACTTGCTCTCTCTCTCTCCTTTTCTCTATCTCTCTTGAACTCCCTTGCTCTTTCTTGCTCTCTCTCTCTCTCTATCTCTCACACTCTCTCTCTCTCTCGCTCCCTCTCTCTCTCTCTCCCTCTCCCTTTCTCTCTCCCCCTCTCTCACTCTTTCCTTCCCTCTCTCTCTCTCCCTCTCTCTCTCTCT